CACTTAGGGCAAGGTTTGGTTATGCTTAGATGAAATTCAGTGGACTCTGTTCTGTAGGAAAAGAAAGCAAGTGCAGGTCTGCTAGGGGGTCTTGGAGGATGTGCCCTAGCTGTGGCTCTGGAAATCCCATTTTAGCTGGGGATGACCTCTGCCGTTCTGGGTGCTTACAGAGGTCCATTTTGGCCTTGTAGTCTATGAAATCTTAGCCCTTTTTGTTTGTTTTTACACCGTACTGTTTTGTTCTCTATAAATTGTGCATTTCTCATACAGGTTTTGGTAGATTAATATGAAATCGCATGTAGTACAGAAAGATTTCAGATATTTGTTTCAGGTTAGCAAGTCTCTTAATTATTTCTTAAAAATTCTTTTATTCTGAATGATCTTTTTCTTCATTGGATATGCTATTCCCCCAAGGTTTTTCACGTGTTAATGAAGAGGACCTTTGATGTTCAGATTCAAGAACCAGAGTTTGATTTCAGTTCTGTTGATGATTTGCTGTGAAATTGAGTGTGTCGCTAGCATCTTTGTACTTCAACTTGCATAAATAATACTAAATGATTTTAAAGGTACATGAGGCTGTGTCGGTGTCTTTTGAATTGGTTTGAAGATGTGGTTCTAACCCCTTTATTCACGCTTAGTTTTTTGGTTTTGTAGAGTTTGCAGTTGTAATCTGTGGCAGATATTACTGCTTTCACTGTGCTGATACAGTAGGTGGTATTTGGGGTAAAAATGTCTTATACTATATTTCAGACCACAAGTGATTCAGTTTTTTGGTTTTGTCCTTTTAAAGTCAGCTCAATTGTGAAAGTGGGGAGGGTAGTTTCTTAGTCTTCAAAAGTGATTGAAGTATTTTATTTAGATTAAAATTGACTTGTGTCATATGTAAAGTGTTAATATGTGTGAAAGCATATGGGCTCTGTAACTGTGGGGACAATAGTTTCAAGATAAAATAACCAGTGAATACAGTACAGGGTATAGATGCATTTGTAGGAGAGTTTTACGAGATACAGTGTGTAAGTGACTTATCACTACCTTGACTATCTAGCCATCCCCTGATGAGCTAGCCTGCACGTGCCCTTTCCCCAAAGCTGACATCAGGTACTTTTTGCCTTTTTTCTGTCCTTGTACTGAAGGTAAAATAAATAGAATGAATAGGTCAGCCCAGTTCCACTAGGTTCAGAGTGAAAAATACATAAAATGAGAAAGAAAAAGCAACAGAGATCCGCCTGTATTTTTGGAAGAGGCTATTTTACCTGTACAATGTTTTTTAAGCATCTCCTTTATTAAATCAGAATTGATGCATTGTTAGAGATGAGTGGAAGGAAAGGTATATGCAGAACATGTATTTTCATGTTTTAGAGGAAGTTGGGTGGAGAAAGAGAGCAGGCTTATGAGATGTCAAAAAGACAAGATACTTTGCAAAAGTATCAGATTAGCTCAAGAAGGAGTACTTTTTCGTTATCATCACTCCTTTGATCTGCACAAAGGAAAGAGTTGGGTTTTTTTTATTGAAGAGGAGATACCTGAGTATATAGTACAGCTACTTAGATTATGTAATTTACTTCATACCTTTTGCATGGGCAAATGTTGTTTTTATCTAAAATGAATACAACTTCAGCCCTTAGTGTGATATAAACACTGAATACATCATTACTAACTATTTTTATCTCTGTCTAGCTCCTATTGTACTTGAAATACGTGGCCACATAAAAATACTAGTGTAACTGCAGGGTTTGTATGGTTGTAAAAACAAATGTTCTTGTAAAGACAGAGGTTTGTCCTTTTATCTTCCTATCTGCAATCCTGTAAGCAAGCATATTTTTATGGTTTTACCATGAAGTGGTTACATTTTAGTGAAATACCAGATGTTGAGCATACTGTTACTAAGATTTGCCACTTCCATTAAAAACCTCTGGACTTCTTTGGTTTTGCAATAAATTGCAACTAACCAGAAACGTATTTGATAGATTGGCTTGAACTAGAACCATAAATCAGAACCGCTGATATTTTAGATGCAGGTGAATATCCTGTTCCAAATTAGAGTTTTGGCATTGTTTCTTTTCAATTTGGGTTGTTCACAATAGCACAAATATTTTTAAAAACAGTAGATTGTTATTTTCTGATAGGGTTAATGCACTCCTGAGAGAGACAGTTATTCTTTAGTGTGGTAGAGATGTTTTCTTTAGTGTATGAAGTTTGGAGGTTTTATATATTTCCAGGTGCTATGCTTAACTGTCCTTAAAAAAGATTTAAAGTAAACTTGACAGAGTCAGCAAGCAGTGTGAACTTTATCTTAGAGCTTTTCTTAGAGAATAAGTTGTTTTTGTGTTTAAATGTGAATTTTATGTAAATGGAATTGGCTTATATTCATGAGAAGCATTCATCAAACAAAAATGTTTGGCATATGCATGGTGTAAGTGGAAAGGGATTAGGCCCTTGAGGGATCAAGATGGTTTGTCTTAGGAGCTGCTGAACCCCAGCAGCCTGACAGAGGCGAGGCTGCTGCAGCCCCGTGGCCCCGGGTCCAGCCAGTAGCGAGGCGGAGCATGTGTTCCCAATAGGCACATGTGGATGCATACACACACTACGTGGTCATCCACATAGTGTGTGCATGTGTTCCCGATAGGCACATATGGATGCATACACACACTTCGTGGTCATCCACGTAGATCAACACAGAAACCACAGCACTCTCACAAACACACACTGCACCAATGGCCTGATCTTGTTTCACCTTTCTGGCTGGTCAGGATGAAAGCCTGTTTGTGGAATATGTATACAGAAATATACATATCTACAATATGGATGCCTCCAGTAGCTGGTCTTTGACACTTAGTCTATGCTATCGCTGGTCTCACATCCCCGGTCTCTGCAGTTGCCAGCACATGGGCATGTGAGTCTTGCTGTGTGGCTCGCAGCTCCATTCCAGTTGCTGGTGCTCAGCCCTGCTCCTGCATGTGCACACGTGCACACACTATGGATCCTCCCAGTAGCTTTAGACACTCAGTGTATCCAGTAGTTGACCCCTGGCCTCCCTGTTGCCTCGCACACAGACACACATATACAAATGGGTCTTTCCGGTACCTGGTGCAGGCTTATAACACTATCAGTAGCTGACCCTTGCACGCCAGAGGCTTTCCTGTAGCTGGGACCTCCTGTTTCCTCCAGTAACCGTCAGGCCCATTGGTCTCCTCAGTCTCTGCCTCAGACTTGTGGCTGCTCTGATACCTGGTTCCCAAGCCTCTTCTCCTAGTCCAGCTTGATGCTCATGAGTGATTACACACACTGAAACACACACCCACACAACATTTATGCACCCTACTCTCCCCAGTTTCTGGCAGCACAGACATGTGCACCCCTATGACTTATGGTCCCTTTTTCAGTTGCAGGCACTCAGACCTCCAAACAGACACACGGAGCCTCCTACCCAGGAGTTAGAAATGGAATTTAAGGAGAAGACAGGACTGACTGCAGTGATCAGTGCAGGGCAAGGCCAGACAAGCTTCCTGACCAGCAGTCTGTTTCAAGTGACCAAACCCTTTTATCCCTGTGTTTACCAATGGTTGTTCCTCCTCAGACCACCCTAATCCCTCTTCTGCTGGCCTTTTGTCTTCCCTAAGCATCTCATAAAAGTTTTGTGCCATCCCAAAGGGCTCTTCCCTTGAATCCCGTAATGAGTCCCATGCCCCTGTAGGCAGTAACCCCCTGTCAGACTGTAAGGTGAGCGGGGAGCCACTCCTTTCTTTTTAGCTGGTGAGTGTCACACCTGGACAGGCTGATGGCTCCCCTGGGACAGCCCTGGGGGGAGCTGGGTCAGGGTGCTCAGTTTTCTCCAGTTACATTATTGGGGTTCCTATCCTGTTACTGTTACTCTGTGCTGCTTTGTGTTTATGGTGATGAGCCTTTAATCGCACAACTTAGCAGTTTGTATAATGGAAAGGTGGGATCATTTACCTGCTAGTATTAAGTCATTTGTGTTAAAGTGCATTAACACCACCAGTGCTTTGTTAGGTTAATTGTTGTAATGGGATGTACTTAGGTGGTGCGGAAGTTTAGATAAACTGGGAGGTTACATTAGGCTTTTCTGGCGGGAAGATTTTTGCTTCAGTATTAGTACAATTACCTAACCCAAAGGATTTAGACACTTGTGAGGTGGTTGAGACCCTAATGATGCTGCAGTAGAGAATTGTACTTGTAAATGTAGTAAATCAATGGAGTAAGATACTGCCTATATATTATGGGATATATATCTCTCTCTCTGCCACTTTTTACATGTATGAACTATAGTGAATAAATTATGCAGTTTGGTTTATCAGAGGGCCATGTTTAAAGGGTGTTTTTTTGGGAACTACCCCAGCATGATAGCTTGTCTGCTAGACATTGGGGTCTGCCACACGGAAGAGATTTCAAGTAACAAAAGTGCAAAGAAATTTATGAAAACATTTTCCTTTGTAGGAAGCTGCTTTGATTTTTCAGGAAGAAAAAATGCTAACTCGTCATTTTGATTTTTGCGTAAACCCATGGGGTTTTGTCATGATGCTAGTGTGACAGGTCAAAGCTGAACTCAGCAAAGTAAAGAGTGTTAGAACTCCCGCATAAGCTCTGTGTAACGCGATTGTCAATGGAAGCCTTTGTAGAATACCCTACGTTATTTATAAGTCTCTTTACAGTATGGCATTTTATGATATGGTAAAGAAATGAGTATGATACATTGCTTAATTGATTACATGGGACCTATAAAGACATTTAACTTGAAGTGTATTAGCTTTATATCTAATAGATAATTAAGAAATCGTGGGTTGGAAGAAGCACTTTCCCTAAATTCCAGGTCATGTTGTTTTGTACCATCCTGTCATCTATTCTGCAGGGCTACTTGCTGGTAAAAAACAATGAAGAACTAAGTAGTCATTCCAGAGTAATTTTTTTAAGATTAGTTGGTGTTTAGGGAAAAAAGTGCATATAATTCAGGTTTAATGGGAATATTTTTATTTTTCTTAAAGGAATTACCTACGGTTCTGCTTATTCATGAGATGGACGGGCACGAAGGTGCATGGACAATATTACCGTTAATGAGAGAGTAAGTGTAATGAATGCCAGTTATTTTCAGAATTTTTTGTAACCAAGAATATTAATATTGATTACTCAGACCTCTTTTTTCAGAAGCAAAATTTGAATGAGAGTTGCAACCTTATCTTTTCACCTTCTTAAACTACTTTTTTTGTTGTTTTCCAAAGCAATTTTCTGTCAAATTTCATTAAATCAGAGAAAGCTATTTAAAATAAAAGAACAACAATAATATAATGTAACTGAACAACTGCCTTCTTCAAATCGTTGTGGGTTTTAAAATTACTAGGGAAGTAAATTAGTCAAAAGAAATACCATTTTTAAATGTATATTTTCCTATTTGGTCCCCACTTCTCAGTGTAAGGTGTGAGGTATTTCAGAACTTTTGACTTTTCAGATTACTTGGCTGAATGAAGTGGATGAATAATTTTTTAAAAAAAGGTAATAATACCTGTTTGGGGTTTCTATCTTTTATTGCTTACAGTGTTTCTAAGAGGTGGTATGCCTCTATAGTGAAAAGGTATAGGTTTCAACATCTTTTTAGAAGCCTATATGGCCAGTTTTCATCTTAGTGTGGTCAGAGAAGACAGGTAATCTCAAATATCTTTTCTTCTTAGCTTATGCAGATGGCTCCAAGGAAGACGTGCTGCATTTACATGGTAGTATGTTGCAAACTGTCGGGAAGCAATGATTCTTGTTTCAGAAAGTCCTAAAGCTCCATGGTTGCTGAAGGCTATCCTTTGCCTAAAACTTGCATTTGAAATTGATGCTGGAGGCTCTGCAGCCTCTTGAGGTTTAATTCAGTTAATATAATTTATTAGAGTTACTCAGAAGGAAGTTTTTGTTTTGGTTTGAGATTTTTGCATCAGAGTGGTTGCAGGACATGATGCCTTTTCTTCTGCTTTCCATTGCTTTCTGTGTGTGTAGAAACATGAAAATAGTGTTTGTATAGTAGCTATCTTTGAGAGAGAGACATATAAACTGTGAAAAGAAGCAAAAGGAGAATTAAAGTAAATTGAAAAATTGGAAGATGATGTTCCAACTATCAGTCATCTTTGTTTTTCCTTCTTAGCTCCTGTTTCAGTGACCCTAGTGGTTCCTCTTCTGAATTATTTATGTCTCAATGACAGGGTTTACAGATACTGCTCTTAAAAGATAGCAAAACTCAGAAGCAAAAATACAAATGCTCATTTGTGTGATAAAGCAGAAGAAAATTCTTCAGAAATCATAAGAGGAAACTTAAGTAAAGGATTTCCATCTTGAGAATTCTGTAATACGAATTTCCTTGTGTCTACTGTTTCACTTACCACTTTTGGCAGAATGAAGACATGGAGTAGTTTAGAAGTATGTCGATGTTGTGAGGCTGGTACTGTTTAGTTTTCTTAGTGGACAGAAGAGAAGGAAGGGAGATCAGCCCATTCTGCAGCAGCTGACGATGCTTGGAATTGTGATATAAGATGCGTTCTTATTTGAAAACTGCTTTCAGAAGAATGGCAGTTCTGTAGTTGTCAGCATTTTTAAGGAGGCGTCTAAACAGTTATGACAATTCTTAATTTTTAGTTCTTGGGCAGAGGTTAACTTGGACAAAATACTGCATTTCAGAAGATGTAATCATAAGACATCAATGGATGTCTTATGACACAGTACCGTTACTGTCTTCAGAAGGCCCACTACATTTCTTCTCAGTAACCAAGTTCATTAAGCAGAGAAGAAATCCCTTTTTTAAATTATTACCCTGAACCTGGATCTTACCCGAGTATCTCCAATGGCTCCTTGCAATCTGAACTCCAAATTTGTGTGCTATGAGGTCTACATAAGACTTTCTGCAGGCCTTAAATACTTAGTCTTGAAAATAATTCTGTTTGTCCATCAATAGCTAGATGAACAGATCATTATTTTTGTGAACTTGTATGTGCTGTATTCACAAGATGCAGTAATTCTTTTTTTTTGGGGGGGGATTCTAGTGTTTTCTCCTTGCCCTTCACCTGCCTGCTTTCGTGTAAATTCAGGTATTTATCTCCCAAAGTTCTAGCTGAGCACTAAAGCATGAGAGGAAAGCCTTCAGTCTTCACAGGGCATTGAATACTGAACATATTTAAAAACATGAGGGTATCTGATACCCTTTCTGTACTTGTTTGGCAAGTATTAGAAGGAAGAGCTAGGAAGTGTCTTTCCCAGCTGATTGTATCTTGCTTGCTTGCCTGAATGGCAAAGAGTTGCCCAGATTTCAGTGTTAAATAGGCAACAAGTATATGCTTTTATGAACTAAAAAGATGAATGGATCATGAGTTCTTCTGGCTGTTATAGTTTAGCAGATTAAGTATCATAAGCAGAAAGCAATGAATAATCAAATACCGTTGCAAGACACAGAGGAAAGGTAGCCTTATAGGAAGATGGCTGTCGTGGTTTAAACCCAGCCAGCAACTAAGCACCACACAGCCACTCGCTCGCTTCCCCCCGGTGGGATGGGGGAGACAATTGGAAGGGTAAAAGTGAGAAAACTCGTGGGTTGAGATAAAGACAGTTCAATAGGGAAAGCAAAAGCCGTGCGTGCAAGCAAAGCTAAACAAGGAATTCATTCATTGCTTCCCATCGGCAGGCAGGTGTTCAGCCATCTCCAGGAAAGCAGGGCTCCATCACG